TGAGACGTTTAGGGTCCCACATTATCTAGACAATCGGCTCAAAGATGGCGGTAAGGTTGACAGCCTTACGCGCTTTACTCCCCAGGAAAATTATTTAATTAATTCCTGGTACTCATTTCTGTTAGAGGCTGTGTCGACCCCAGGGCCATAGTGCGGCCGGAAGGATTAGGTCAATTGAAAAAAATCCAATTACCTCATCGGGACTTGAACCCGCGACCTTCCGGTTTGTAGCAATGTACGTAGATACCTCAACCATCTATGAATATTGTAATAAAATGATGCGTTGCGTTCTGCTGATGCCAGGGGGCAGAATGTGCATATGAAGTGGGAGGGAGAAAACTGCTGTGACAGTTTGGTGTAGTTTCTGGAGACGGGTCCTCAGATCTGAAGGAAGAACAGTGTAAAGAAGATATCAGTGTGGAACTGAAGTTTACATTGGTTCGCTGGAAGCTCTGCCGGAGGGCCCAACAGAGTCGGTTTTCTCACCTGAAGACAGAAGTAGAACCAGTTTCCGAAATATATCGGTCAAAAAGAAAAGTTTGACAAGGTGTAAGGTCCAAAATATCAGTTTGAAGCGAATATGAAGGTATTTACGTATTTACGCTGCTGCTCCATTTTATAGTCTTCTAGGTTATGACATCGTGTAGTCTGGTATACGATTACATAAGCCACAAGACCTCGATCTGCGGCTTCACATCCGTTGAACGCCTCTAGTCCTGTATTCTTTTATTTTCTTTCATCCTACCCCCCTTTTCTTTCTGAATTCGTTTTAGATCCTTTCTTTATTCCTTCACTTACTTCTTTACCCCTTTCCAGCTTCTTTCCCTTCTTTCCTTTCTTCATCTCTTTCTCTGTTCTCCTTTATTTTCTTCTTAACTTTCTCTCCTTTTATCATATCTTTCCCCTCCCCTCTTTCTCTCTCTCGTTTCCTCCTCTCTCCCGTTTCTAATTCCCTTTCTTTTTCCTCTTTCCCCCTTTCTTCCTCTCTTTTCACTCTTCTCCCTCTCCCTATCACCGTTCTTCTCTCTACTTTCACCTTCCTTCCTTCACTCACCCCCTCACTCTGTTTCCCACAATAATTCCATTTCCCAAGTGCCCCATGCGAGCCTCTGGAGTTGCGGGTGCCCCCGAAGCCCTGTTCCCCGGACGGGGTCGCGTCTGCGCACTGCCATAACTCCCCAGGCTGATGGCGTCGCGACCAACCGCAACTGCTGCATTTCTCGTATATAAAATTAATGGAGGCTTGAACTGCCTTCAGACCGCTTCGCTGCATTTCGTTAAACTTTCAGTTGTGCCTTAAAGCGTAGGGCCCATCTGGCCACCGACGCTTCCGCCCCACAGAAGATTAGAGACGTTAGAAATGTCTCCTTCTTATGGAAACCGAAGCCTCGTTACATTGTTCACGAGGACAGGCCTTCTTGCTGCTGGTGGCTTCCTTGTCCTACACGGGCTCACATCCCAGAAGACAGTCTTCTCATGTCACTTCATCTCCACTTTAAACATAAATAATACGACACTATGTGGCTCAGAATACAGACAAAGAGTTAAGATAAATTCCGTGTTCCGTGCAACATTGAGGGACCCGTTTGTGACTGTTCCAGTCGCCCTGGGGTCGACTAAGCCTCTAACAGAAATGTATACCAGAAATCTTCCTGGGCAGTAAAGGGCAGCCGGCACGTAAGGCTGACAACCTCACCTCCATCTGTGAGCCGACTCTATAAAATGTGGGAATCTCGACGTCTCACAAGCCTATGGGTCTCCACGGCCTGTCTAGCTTTACCTTCACTTTTAACTCCGCTTTGCTCTGTAATGTGATACATGAACGGGTAGGATACTCTAAGTTACTGTCCCAACATTTTCACCGAAGATTGAGGAATTCATCATAGATTACTGAAACATGTACCAACTGCAGCGGTTGTTAGCGCCGAACGAAATGAGGGGATTGTGGCGTTGTGTGAATTTGGAGGTGTTAGTCGTGACCTACTTCAGAGTATTACCCCGAAATTTACCTGGAGGGATGGAAGAGAACCACATACTCCTCAGTGTGGCAGGTCGCGGAACTTTTCCCAGCAAGAAACGGGAGTGCTAACCACTGTTAGGTGATTTTCGGTCGGATTATTTAATTACTTATTTATTTGGTTAGATTGATTTATGTTCAATGTTTCAGCTTCAATCTAACGCTTGTAAATACACAGAAATGCAATCTCCATGATGAAGTTGAATGTAATCTCATATAAAAAGTTCTTCCGTCTGGTATGTAACGTCGTGTAGTCAGTGAAAGTCAATCGATGCTTTTCTTTTTAAATTCACTTAGTGGGGGGTGGAGTCCAACTGTGTCCACTCGGCACGGCGGCCACTAATTGGCCTATTGTAGCCTGCCCCGGGTGATTATGATTATGGAGAATTTGATAGAATGAAGGTTGGCAGGAGAAACCGAAGTACTCTGAGAAAACCCGCTCCAACGCCACTTTGTCCACCACAAATCCCACTTGACCAGACCCGGGATTGAACCTGGGCTGCCGCGGTGGGAAACCAACGACTAACCACTTGAGCTATAGCGCGGCCTCAGCCGATGCTTAGTAGGAACATATCGTTTACCATCTTCGGAGTCGAAGAGTAAGCAAATAAAAAAAAGCATAAAACAGGCAACAAGTCANGGTTGGCAGGAGAAACCGAAATACTCTGAGAAAACCCGCTCCAACGCCACTTTGTCCACCACAAATCCCACTTGACCAGACCCGGGATTGAACCTGGGCTGCCGCGGTGGGAAACCAACGACTAACCACTTGAGCTATAGCGCGACCTCAGCCGATGCTTAGTAGGAACATATCGTTTACCATCTTCGGAGTCGAAGAGTAAGCAAATAAAAAAAAGCATAAAACAGGCAACAAGTCAATACAGGAGAAATGTCCCCTTCCCCGGAAGGTCAACTGACATTCACCCTACTATAAAACTCTGTGCCCCTGATGATAGAAATGTTCGTAACCAGTGCAGCAAGAACGGCAAATCCAACTTAGTATCATGTAACTTATGTAATATGTCCAGTTTCAATGCTGAAACTGTAATCTTGAACCTTAAACCCGAAATACGATAAATGTGCCCCCCTCCAGTGCTGGTTATGCAGGCAGTTTGCATGTGGGCTGTTAGTGTGAAGGCTTCAGAAACGTTTGGGGCGACTTGTTCTATAAGCTGACGCTTGTTACAGGTTTCACTGGAAGGAAGAAGAGATACCAAAGTTATGAATACAAGTGAGCAAGACAGGAAATGAAACTTTCAGTATGACGTACTTTTGTAATAAGACCATCAGCCAATGCTGCCACCTACACCGGAAGTACGCGACAAGATTTCCGTCGTCACATAAAGCGAAGATCATCTCCAGCAAGTCGAGGAGAGAAAACATGGCTGACGTCTTTGGTGGAATATGAAACACGTTTAGATTTTAGCGGAACTTATCATTCGCGTTTCGTGTTTGAATTCCGTGAATATTTTCTGCGTTAACAGTAGTGCGGTGAATATTTATAGTAAAATATTTTAAAATTTGTAAAATTATACAAAATATAAATTGCTCATTCTTGTTATTAAATTAAATAAATATTTAGCGGATAAGGAGACAAAGTTTTTCGCAAATATAAACACTCGTTCAGTATTTGTTTTTGCGTGTTTCACGAGTAGTCATTCACTTATGTCCGTGAATTCCCGTGACTTCGCTTACAAAACAATTTCCCATCAGCATTTTTATGTCAGAGTCAGTTAAAGAAATAATCTCATACAGAGAAAAGTACACGAACCTGACGTCATCTCTGCTTCTAGACTGAAGCCTGGAGACCTGCCAGGTACGTTACATGACACACTCTTGCACACACTTGGAGCATCATCAGAATTTCGTTACTAGGGCTAGAATTACACTTCAGATCCTGATTTTAGTACCGCGGTTATGCAGATCACCATAAGATCTGTGATCTGAAGGACACGTTATGTGTGATTTAGGCAGACGGAAATATCACATGGTGATCAATATGACCATCCATACTTTCGCGGTGATATTGAAAGAACCTATCGGTGTCTTACGTGATCAAAATTTCTGTTTCTGCCTCATAACTTCATTTGCGTTTCTAAGTGTTGATTGTCCATGACTGAACATTAGCGAGATTATGTGAAAGTCTATGATCTGTGACGAAGGCCGTAGCTATAAAACTTGCCGCTGTGTTAGAACTTGGATGTTGATTTCGCAGAAGGGGCGGTAAGGGTGCTTCATCGGAGCTGCATGCCCTGTGAGGTGTGAGGACAAGAGCTTGAATACATTCCAACATATTTTGGGCTTAATTGACACGTGCCTGTTTATCGTTGAGAAATGAAATTAATATTTGGAATTATTACGTAATCAGAAAACGTATCAGTGTATCCTGTGTTTATGAAGTTTTTATGAGTGAAAATTGAATTTAATTTCAAGAATGAATCTTTAAATATCAGTGAATAATTCTCGGACGCGTTAATCTGTCCTAAGTACATTGCATGTATGGTGAAGTGTTTACAGTGTTTCAGGCTTTATAAAGATTTTAAACAGACTTTTATTCGATGTTGACTAGAATTCGATGTATCGAATATTTTCTAAATTTAATTTTAAGTGTCACTGATGAAACGCCCGCTTGAATTATTCTTTGGAGTGATGGGGTGTGAGTGTGTGTGTGTGTGTGAAGAAGATAACACATTCATAACCGTGGTCGTGGAGGAAAAGTGTGCGGAAAAACGCATTGAAGTGCTCAGCAAATAAGTTATTGAAGCAGTCATTCTGTTCACAAAACCGTCCTTTTACTAGGTGAATTTCTTTATAATTAAAAGATATTACAGAGATTGCAAGTGTTTTAATAGATTTTTCATAAACTCTCCATGAAATGCAGAAGAATTATGAACATTAATAACAGTTGAGAATTTTTACACGTCAAACGGCTGTAAAAATAATACAGAATTTTGAAACTTTAAATAGATTATATAGCCTACAATTTACGGGACAATATTCTCTATTTCGTTTTAGATAAAATTTACGCAGATTTCTCGTCTGAGACTTTACTAAATTGAAGAAATTCATCCTATAAATCAAAGAGTTACGTAAGTGATCAAACTGAAATTTCAGCATCTCTTTCGTTTTAAATTAATGAAGCCAAGTTGAAGAAAAACCTTCATTGCAGCGTAACTATTAAATTTTAATTGGTTAATTTCGTGGGCATTTGCTTAGTTTCTCAAACTATTGACGTAATGGTTTAGTGCCTCTCTCTCTTAATATCTCGCGAACAGATACTCAAGTGTTCATGAAACTATGCTCTGTGATGACTGATGGACTCAGACAGTTGTTCCCCAGTGAACTCAATGCAACACGCACGACACCAGAGGTTTACAGCGCATCGCTGCTTCCGCATCAACGTCCGAGTTACGTGAAGTGTCTTCAGCAATTTAACAGTTGACGCGGCCCGCGTTTTCCGATGTCCAGTGACTCCCGTCGAAGCGGCATGTCCCGTAACGCGCTTCTAGAAGTAAACATACCGAAGAAGTGTCTGGGGATGATGCTAGGTACTCCGCTGTGCAAATCGGGGTCTTCCCTCGACCTGACCGCCCTGTCGAAGAGTGAGGACGACCAGCAGACGTCACGTGAAGGGAAACTGCGTCGCGTGTTCACGACGCACGCTCGGAGACGATCCACCAGGAAGAAGGAGTTGGTTCCGGGGTTCAACCTCAGCCACATGATGAAGGAACCGCTCAGGGTTGTCCATTCCGTTCCTCTCAGCTTTCCAAACGGGTGAGTAACACTTTGTTGGCGTGCTGATGTTTTCTGTTTAACTTGACAGCGTCTTTTATTTAAGTAGAATGGCGCCCAGTGTCGTAGCTTGTAATTTCAGTAAAGGGTGCCTGATCTGCGCGGCCATTAGTGAACTAGTCCTTGCCAATGAAGCTGCAGGCAAAGGAGGCCTCGAAGGACTTTTACTCAGAGAATGGACAAAGTACCATGGCCGTGTGTGAAAGCTATAGTCTGCACGGTTCAGACGAGTCACCACATGCGGTCTGTTTAACTTCTGATTTTAATTGAGTTACGATTCTCATGACTTCTGTCAGGACACTTAACTATTTAACTTGTAACTATGCATATAATTGAAAATGCCTATATACGAAAATATTTCGAGAATGTGCTGTTACTTGTGCAGGACAGCAACATATACAAAAATGATGAAAGTGAAATAAATAAATAATAGATTAAATGAATTTTCGACTTTGTGCCCTTCATTACGTTGTCGCCTATTCACGGATCCGTGACTAACAATAACGGGTTGTGGACTGGATGATTGGATTTATTGACACTTTCTTGTACAATCACTCGTAATCACAAAGAAATAGAATAACTCACAACCAATCTTCAGCCAAACCCTTCTTCCATGTCTGCAGAGGACTCGCTCCATTCTCGTTCTCTTTCTACGACTGACTTCTGATTTAAGACTGGATTACTTACATAGTCGCGAGGCGGACCTATAGAAAACGTCGTTTCTGTTGTCAAGATGGCGTCTTTATGGGCCCGATACGTAGCAATGGATGTCTTTTATTGTCGCGTATTGTACGCATTACACAGCAACGAGCTTTTACCAAGAACCTATCTCCGGGGGGAACGTTTTTATCGAGCCGTTGTTTAGCAGTGGGTCAATATGTCACAGTGTTTTATGATGTCCGCTTACTGAAATTCTGAATACAGAGACATATGAATTTATCTGGGTTTGAAACTTGGTCTGTTGCTATTTCTGAAGAGCAGAGTTCCGGCGGGAACGAGTACGAAGAAGCGGAGAACAAAAATAGCAGAAGGATGCGGCCTGTATCTGCAGCCAGTCTGAGAAGGGTGCATTATGCATCGTGTACATTTTTCTTGAGAAATATTCATGGGTGAGATTAGTACAGAGGCGCAGAAGCGGATGAAAGAATTGCGAGTATTAGAAGAAGAAGCCCAACGGCCGCTGAGAAAGCAGCTGGAAGCCTTTTCACTTTCTTTTAAGCTTTCGCATTAATAACAAATAAGTAAAAGTTAAAATGTACAAAATTATAATTTTACCTGTGGTTCTGTATGGGCGTGGAACTTGGCTTATGACATTAAGGGAGGAACATAGACTTAGGGAGTTGAGGAGAATATTTGGACCGAAGAGGGATGAAGTGACAGGAGGTCGGAGAAAACTGCATAATGAGGAGCTTCATAACTTGTACTCTTCTCCAAGTATAATTAGAATGATCAAGTCAAGGAGGATGAGATGGGGAGGGTATGTAACACGAATGGAGAGAAGAGCAATGTGTATAGAACTTTAGTGGAAAAGTCAAAAGGAAAGAGTCTTCTAGGAAGATCAAGACGTAGGTGGGTGGATAATATTAAAATGGATCAAGGACGACGTTAACTCCATCTCCCACGAATATCATTAGCTAACATTCGATCGTAAACTGTCATTTATATAATATAGTAAACTTCAGACATTCGCGTCAATATATTTTCGGCATTCACAGACTAGACACGATATACCGGATCAGGTGATGGTGCAGCTGACCATTGATCGCTCAGAGTTAGGCAGATCTGTTCAAAATACTGCTACAACAGACCCTCGTTATATGGCCGTTGCATGGACCACATACAAAACATTTGTTTGAATTGTTGTGCTACCTAACAACTAGCTGTAACGGGGTCCACAGAGAACACAGCTCCTATTATTATGTGTTTGCTGTAACTTATATAATGAGTCGTTGCCTAGCAGTGGTCATGTTCGTCACAGTATAGGGGTGTATGTGGGAAGGTAATGTGTAGGTAAGTAGATATAAGGGGGTAGGGGTTGATAGTAGAGCATACAGGGATAAATAAGTAGATGTGGGGGAAGGTGACGTAGGGCGTACATAGATAATAAGCAGGGAAGAAGAAGAGAGGGCAGGATAGGAGAGCAGTAGACGCGATGGGAAAGAGAGGGTAAGCAGGCGGAGGTGTGCTCTGGGAACGAGGCAGCGCCATTGTGACGCACACCATCACGTCACATTAGAAAGTATTTTCAACATACTTCTCGTGACAGTATATGGCCTTTAGGAAATACTGCAACGTCAAATTCTGGAAGTGTTTAATGACTTTCTGAGGTCATGGCAGACTTTATGGGCTTGTGTGCCTATAAATATCCCGTCATAGCAGCAGTCTTCAGCAGCCGCTAGATTAGCGGGCAGGGGAACATAATTTGTTTGATCACTCGTAAGAGGCGTGACTTAAAACCAATATCCTTTCACGATTCTGCACCACGCATGCGCAAAAAGTATGTGGAACCTGAACGACTGTCCGTGTGATAGATGGGCTTGTCTGAAGGGACACAGAAAGCAGACAAACTGAGGCACAGTAGGAAGGCGAAACTATTCTCTGAATCCAGCACAACATAATTTTGTTTCATGGAATCCATCATTCTAAATTAATTGCGGACTTATGTTGTTATTTTGCTATGCATCAACTGACTGTTTTTACATACCCTTAGCTGTAATTGGGAGCTGGTGAGGCAATGATGGATACATTCATAATGTGCTATCGGAGTGTTTGCCTAGAGGGGCTGACAGCAGTTGATATTGTAGGTGCCTGCGCAAAGATTCAAACAGGAGGACTCCAGAGCCAACCGCGATATTAAGCAAAAGCGCGCGTGAAATTAAAGATAGAATTTGGAGCCTAATTTTAAAATAATATTCCGGTATTTTGTTATAGATACTGAAGGAACCTACAAACAACATCAATCAAGATAGACCATAGCCCCATAGCCGAGATTCGAAACGGAGCGCCCCCCCCCCCGAATACAGTTCTGGATGCTACGGGAATATAACTGGCAACGGGCTCAGTTCATTTCTTGCAAGGGCAGAATGTTTCTCTTCTGTTTCGCCGAAGCTAAAATTGTCAGAGCGTAGAGGTGTTCGTCTGTTTTAATCTTTATATTTCGCTTTGCTTTCCCTTCCTCTCTCTTGCGCCGTATTCTCTCCTATTGAATTTGTCGATCTCTTTACTTTCCTGTATTCGTGGTAGTACTCAGGCACGCTGAAAACTTCATCTCATTTGAGTTACCATTCTCTTTATGTGTCTGTGTGTGTGAGGGCGCTTAGGGACTGGGGAAAACATTGCCTAGATCTGATTTCCAACAAGGGCAAGGGATCTTTCTCTTTTCCACATCGTCCAAACCGGCCCTTGGCCCTCCCAGCCTCCTGTCAAATGTGTGAGATGTGAAGCTGATCTCTCACCTTCATCCTGTGGCAATGTCAAGAATGGTGGAGCTACACTTCCGTTCCCCCATACATCATCGTGGCACAGTGCTCAATTAATTAAGCCCATATACAACTCAGCCTCTAACAGAAATTAGTACCAGAAAATTTTCTGATACAAAGGGCCCCCGGCCGGAGCATAAGGCTGACGAAAATGTGGAAGCCTCGACGTCTCACTAACTCTATGGGCCTCCACGGCCTGTTGTAGGAATAACTTTACCTTCTTATACTATAACATGTGATTCATCTCTCTTTCCCAACCTTCAGCTTTCTTGCCAAGAGGAGAGTACAGTAACTGAGACGCGCGGTAGTGTACTTGGTTGAGGCACTATGCTACAAGCTGGAAGGTCGTGGTTTCGATTCCTGATGAGATCGTTGGATTTTTCAATTGACCTAATCCTACCAGCCGCACTATAGCCCTGAGATCGACTCAGCTTCTAACATAAATGAGTACCAGGAATTTTCCTGGGCGTAAAGGGCTTTCGGCGCGCACGGCTGAAAACCTCACCGCCATCTGTGAGCAGATTTTCTACAAAATATGGGAACCTCGACGTCTCACTAACCCTATGGGCCTCCACGGCCTCTTAGACAGCTTTACCTTTTACCTTTATTTGTCTTTCCTTCTCTCATTACTTTAATTTAATTGTCGTTGTTTCCGGTCCTCTTTTGTCTATCGTTTTATTAACGTTCTTTTTCTCAATTATACCACCTCTATGTACATCCTTTCTTCTGTTCCTCGAGTATATTCGTAGCTATGAGCAACACAATGTACCTCCACTGTGGTCACAGTCCGAGCGACACGTGTCACGGCGAGCACAAAGAGAGTTCCTAATCCCTCGTTCAGTAAGTGGAGCCCCGAGCAGAGCTGCCTCGTAATTGCATTTGCTCGCACAGAAAGGCGCAGATGTAGCTTAGCCGCGATGTGTTCTTCTGTGTAACGCAGGAACATAACTCGGCAGGGGCTACACACTTCCGTAATCGCGTCACATTTTCCTTGTTCAGTTCTGTGTCCGGAGGCCAGGGCTGCTGGCATTACAGCGAATTGGGTCCTGGCAAATCGGGGATCGTACAAACCGCTTGCCAGCTGATAACTGACAACTGACAGCTAACTGGATCCCAGGCTGGCCGCCATTACACACCAACCTCCTAGTTTTCTCTACACATGCTGACTTTCAACTGACAATTGACGACTGAACAGTCTCACTCAGAGGCAAAGTCACACTGCAACTGACGGTCAGTCAGTCAGTCTCTTTTGGTGTAGAGTCCCATATGGGTCTCATTACCAGATATTAGTTCTTGTTCGACAGTTACTGTTCTGTCCATGCCGGCGCCCTCTCTGATGAGAGGACGGGTCTGTCGTTTGTTAAGTCACAGTCTGCAGTAATAAATCAGTTGTCAGTACGTACAATATAATTATATTTTAAGTGCTATTGAAAGTATATATATATACACACAATATATAGAAGGCATCTCTCAGTCTAGACTCAATACAGCAGATATGCCCTC